AGAGAAGCAAAATGCATCATAATGCCCCCCCCCAAAATGGACAGAGTGAATTCGATATGAAATTAGTGCAGATAATTTGTGGTCATTTACATCCTATTTTTAACGTTTGACTACATTTTATTGCAATGTAGTAAACTGGAGTTTATACTGTGAAAGTAATAAACAATAAGACATTATGCTTTCTACACGTGGTACATGTTTAACAAATGTTTGGTTTTAGAAGCTCAGGCAATATGTTTACACATACGTTAAGGATACTTTTGACTCAACCACCTGATTTACAAGTAATCTAAACACCAACAACTGCTATTTCCTGCATATCTTATCACCAAAGCCTCTACCAACATTCCTGAAAGTCAAGAAACAAACCTTGCAGTGAAGCCTTGACAAACCAATCACCATCAAAGGTCAAGGCCATTTCAAATTCCAGTCCTTTCAGACTTAACTGATGCAGTGGAAGCACTGCCTGAGAACATTACAGAAGCTCACCAACCTCCTAAATCCTAACCTAGAGTTCAGTGATTCAGAAAATTAATGCAATGAATAAAGTCAGTAGGCTGGCCGAAGAGACTTGTTATTTACAATGTTGTTATTAATGAGATAATGCACTAAGTTATTGATTCAAAAGATATTATATACTCCTAGAGGTCAGAAACTATGACTTACTGGTATACTCTTGTACCCCCAGCAACCACCTAGGTACAAGCTGAGTAATCTGTGGAAGACAGACCTTGATCTTAGGTTCCAATCCACAGACTTCCAAACGAAATAGAACATTTCTAGTGCTTGTAATAAAAGTCAGTATTAGACATAAAAGGAAAGTGTCATTTCATAATAGAAACTCTCATACATAATTTGTTGATGGTATTTCCTAAAAATAAAGACACTTCATGTCATTTCACAAATGTTAGACACTCGGGAAAGAATAGTCCCTTTCTCCTTATTACATGAGACAGTTTTTGGTGCAACCAGGGACACCAGTCTTTTATATGGCCTACTAATTTTGCCTTTAAAATTACTAAAACTACACTCTAAAATGAACATTACCCATGGAGGGAGCTGGTAAACATGGGGGGAAGGCAAACAAACATGCTCAGCAATGCCCATTAAGCTCCTTTTTGTATCCACTGCATGTTTTTAAAGTACTTTTTTTTCAGATTACTAAAACTCCCATGAAACATGCTGGTGGATCTAATACTAGCAAATGAATTTCAAAGTCCTAGGTACTGCAATAATTTGTGCTTGTTATGACATGACACAAATAGTTTATTCCTTTAATATTTTGCTACTATACTTTTATTAAAATGGCCGCAATTTTTTTAAAGGCAATATTACAGAAACACAGTTTCCAGCATGTTGGCTTACTTTACCAATCAGTAACATCTAATGCTCAGGATCATCAAGGGGTCACATAACTGAACAGGGAGTATATCTGCCAAAAAAAATACTTCTCTGGAGATATGCTTCACTTATTTTGAAAATGCTAGTAACAGGTATTCTTGATTAGAAATGAAAATACTGTTTAACTCACAAGTTTAAATACTGAGGTCATATTACAGATCAGCTATTAAATTTATTATTCATTCCACTATTCAACCACTTAACACACTGTCATCGGGTTTACTTACTAATACCTAAAAAGATTTTTTTCTTTGAGCAACAACTAGGACACCTACATTCACAGTATAAGCTGAAGTTTACCACATTACAATAAAATGTAACCAACCCTGACTAGTGTGCCTCCGTTGGACGGGCATCATCCTACAAACTAAAGGTCCAAGTTCAACTCCCAGGTGGGCAAGTGCCTGAGTGACAGGTTCGCCCCTGGTCAGGGAGCGTGCAAAACGCAGCTGGTCGATGTTTCTCTCTCATATCAATGGTTCTCTCCCTTTCTTTCTCTTTTCCTTCCCCTCTCTCTAAAAATAAATAAATAAAATCTTTAAAAAATATATAACCAACCCAAACTTTGAGTGTGAATAACCAGGTGGTATCTGTGTAATTCTGTATCTGAGTCATTCTGTCAATCTGCTCCGCAATACTTTGAGAGTTCATGATAGGTATATGCTTATATTTATTTCCCAAGAGTTTCTAGGACTTAAATTCCCCTGCAGCCTCTTAAGAAAGGTCATTTCTCATATCCTAAGAAAGGCATTTCCCCAGGAGCACAAGTCAAACAGCAAAGTAAAACTGACTAAATAATTGGTCTGTCTCTTTGCCTTAGAAAAGCTTTAAACAGTGGCTACACAGGCACATTCTTTTTCTATTGGAGGGGGAAAGTAATTATTTTTCCAGAGTCGACTACCTTGAGACTAGAAAATAAAATAAGGAAAGCAATATTAGGAGAGAGCCTGATTATAAATAAAAATGTTAAAGTGGTAGTTACATAAACCATCTTAACCACTTGTAAATCTGTACACAAAAAAAAGAAAGAAATCCATGCACCTATCAGTTTTAACAGATATTAGCATACTTTCATGTGAGATCTAAAGGAGCTCTGTCCAAACTTTTCTTCTAAGTTAATGTGTCTTATTTCCCTGTATGTTCGTATACTTTTACAGACTTTCATTAGATACAGATGCATCAATAAACAATGCATGCTATATTACTTTAAAACTCTACATAAAGTCATCACACTGTATATATCCTTTGGCAATTTGCTTTTTTCATTCAATATTATGTACTAGAGATGTATCTATGTTGGAAAGCATAGCTCTAGTTCATTCATTTATACTAGGGGATAGTATTCCATTGCATGAATAAACCGTAGTTTATCCATTTCCCTACTAAAGTAAAGCTGGATTGTTCTACTTTATTGCCATTTTAAGAGCTGCTACAGTCATCTTTGCTACATGTTTATTTGGGCAGTTGCCCCAAGTTAATTAAGAATTCAGCCCAACAAAAATTCAGGTTACAGAAGGAAAGAACCCTGGAATGAAAGCACAAGGTGCCACTGTTAGGTATAACCACCGCCTTCCTAATATGGAGATCACGGGAACTCCGTATCAGGAAGTTGATTACTCACTAGAAAAATATTTAAATAATATGTAATAAATAAGGGAAACATGAGTTGATCAATTTTTGGAATTAACGAGACTAAAACTCACCTTCTCTCTAAGCATTACTGACTGGCAGCCAACTAAAACTCTACCAAACAGACCAGTCTTTTTTCCCCATAGGAGTTGAGATAATTGTCCATTTTTTCCCAAAAAAAGGACTCTACAATAAAAAACTAACTCAATAAGAGCCCCCAAAAGTACTCATTACTTTTTAAAAATATTTTTGCTCTACCTATATAGATCAATTTAGTTCAGCTACTTTATCAATTGCTCATAGCCATTCTACCAACTGCATGATACGGGCAAACATCAAGACATAAGACAGCGCCATTAAAATATAGCGAGAAACAGTAGGTGGGAATAGAAAAATAAATGCAATACTAACCAGCACCAAGTCATAGTTTGTTTTTATATTACTCGTGGTTATCATGCATTTTCTTAAAGATTGATATCCTATAAAATTTACTACTCTCATTACTGATGACTGAATTGTTCGGTCATCAATAGAGAAGAATTAAAAAGAAAAAAGGTTTAAAAAAAACTCTACCAGAAAAATTTGTATCTCTAATACAGCTGGAATATGTAGTAGATGTAATTCCACAAAGCTATAAAAAAGGCTAAATGATTTAAAAGTCATAAAAATCCTCACAGCATTCCTCGAAACCATGCCCCCAACTGGGACTCCTCCAGAACCCAGGTACGTGACCCTATGGGGAATTGAACCTGCAACCTTCTGGTTTCCAGGATGACACCCAACCTGATGAGCCATGCCAGTCAGGACCATGGTACTTTATTTCCTGCATTGTTATCTTTTCAAATGTTAATATTGTGAAACAGCTTTGAACTTTTTGCTTTAATTATAAACTTTAAATCTGTCAATAATCATACTTTGCAAACTAAGTACGAAATTTAAACTGGGTATAGATTCCATCAGCATCTTTTCCAGTTCAAAATACCTTTATAGAATACCAAAGTTACTACAGATCACCCTGAAGTCATATTTTCTCTAAGTATAAGAATGTATCATAAAATTATCTGGAAACTATCCTGACTTTAAAAAGTGAATTATAGTTATTTTCTATAATATTCATCTCTTTCCCACCATTTAGGAAAAAATGTTAGTTTGGTTCACGATATAGTGAAATAAGAATAACTATTAAAAACAGCTCACATGTATTGAATATCTAACATGTGCCAGGTACTGTAATATATGATACATGAACCATTAAATGTCAAGACATTATTATGAAGAAGGTACTTTTATCCCTAATTTAGAGATAAAGAAACTGAGACAGAGAAGTTAAGTAACTTTCTTAATGTTAAGTAGATATATGTTCAGATCCAAATCCTAGAATCTTAACCATTATGCTTATATTAATAAGATCAGAATATTGCAATTTACTACAAAAGCAAATTTTTCACTGATTTAAATTCTGTTAAGTACACATTAACTCAAAGGTCAAATGGTCACTCCAAACCATTCATATTAATGATAAACTGAAAAAATAGTGAGCCAATAAGTTTGTTGAATGTTTATATCTGTTCAGAATAAGTAAACATCACACAATTGTAAAGCCTTTTAAAGAATATTCACGGCCACCAACAAATCTAAAAGGCAACAGACTTAAGGCTGTGCATTTGTGTACAACACTTCTGCCAATACACAATTGCTCATGTCCAAAGCAGCCCTAATATCCAAGAGTACTAACACCAGCGTCGCGTCAGGACTATTTCCTCAAGACAACCCCTGTTAATTTCCTGTCTTCGCATCTCAAAAGAACTTACCACCCTATGGTATCACTTGGAACACCGAAGGACTTGGCTAAACTACTAACTCTTAATATCATTTTCTTTTTCCGCAACCACCTTTTCAAGCCACCAAAATCCTCGGTCCACTCTCCACTGCGATCTGTATCCTTGGGCAAACCCACCTGGTACACTCACCGCTTTTCACACTCCGGGACCCAGGTTTTTCTGCTCAGCACCTGGAGTGAGCATTCGACAAATCCCCATGAATGAATGGGTGAAAGGCGGAGCAGGGAAGAGGGTGGCGTGAAAGAATTTCACACAACTGAGACCACAGCGGGGGCGCCCCATCTGGGGGGGGGGGAGGAAACGCAACGAGTGCAAAAACCTGGGGCCCGGGTGAAGGGGCGCCGTCGGTTGGATGCTGGCTTGGACGACGGATGCCGTCTCCGCAAGTCCCCGCAAAACGCCCGCGGGCCTCCACCAGCGCCAGTGCCTCCCTCCAAGACCCCGCCTCCCAGGCACACAGGAGGCCTCGGCCCGTCTGCCTTTGGAAGCGGAGGGCCGCCCGGGACAGACGCGCGTTAGCTCACCTGACGCTCCAACGGCTGCAAAGCTGACTGCATCCGGCGCGATTTAGCAACCCCAGGAGTCTGGGGCTGAGATCAGCTGATTCACAGGGGGCGGGGCGTCCGGCCCCAGCTGGGCCGCGGGGCGGTGAGCTGCTGTCTGGGAGGCTGGGCTCAGCTCAGGAAGTAGGTGGGGTTAGCTGCCGACGGCGTCTGATAGGGATCAAAATTATCCAGGAGGCGTAGAGCCGGTGAGCTGGGTCCACAGACTTACTGCTTGGTTCTTAGCGTAGGGCGGAGTCACCGGTCCGAAGCAGACTTGGGCGATGACGTAACCTACAGCCACCTGGGGTCTAAGTACTGCGTGACTGTTAGTGGCGAGAGTGGTTGGTAGTTGCAGTCATTTTGTTACCACCTCAAACTGCAAGAATCAGAAGGTTGAGTTCGCTACTTTTTACAGTGAAAAGGCTAAAATATCTTCAGTGTGTTCGTATGGGCTGTACCCTAACGGTGGTCGCTTCCCGCCCCTGCAAATCAAATGACATTATCGCCTCGAGGTGCAAGTTGGACTGCTTAGTTGCAACCTCAAAGGATGGAGTAGGGTCAGAGGAAATGAATTGGCCTTTGCTACGATTCCTGCAAGGCTCCCCAGTATACAATATGAGTAAAACCAGTTTGCCTTCCCAGCACACAGTTTCACCACAGTCTGCTTTCCGCAGCCACAACCCCATTCCGACTCAGCTCGCACCCAAGTCCTCTGCTGAAGATTAGCCCAAGCCAAGGCGCCGTTCTTGGCACACTGGGTGCGAACTCTTTGCTCTAGGTAGTGTGCCATCGCTGAACCTGCAAACCTGTATTCAGACCAACGACGACACGTGTGCAGTCAAGGTCTGAAGCTCCTGGCATAAATGGTGTATCACGTTCACTAACACCCTCAGGTGAAATGACTCCTTGATCCTTCGCTCCCTTGCAAAACCGTTAGTCCTCAACAATTCAACCAACTCTGCACCAGTCCATTCTGCACCAGTGAAGGAAATCACGTAACCTTGAGAATTGCACCAGTGCACCAAAGATGTCCAATTTCAGTCGGGACTTCCATGGGACCCAGGCGATCTTGCTAAGCCTAAAACAGTCTTTTAAAATTGCCACTCTGAATTTCTCCTATTCTCAGTCCCTTGATATTCCCAACCCTCACACTCCTAACATCTTACTGAATTCTACCTACCCCATCCCTTTGGTGAAAATCTAAAAAAAAAAATTTTTTTTGCCTCCTACATTTCTGAGGAAAATGAGACCACTGCAAAGGAATTTCCTGGATTCCTGAAGACACAATTACAAAATCTACCTACAGGCCTTCCTTCCTTTCTCCTTAAAAGGGGTATTCTGTCCTTTCAAGGTTTATTTCTCCACCCGAACCAAAGATTCCTTCCTATCCTCTTAGAGACTTTCCTCCATTATTATCCCCTCTTTTGTGCATGATCTTTTTTTAACATGTTAGTTTTCAATGCCCAAACTGCACAGCAGTTATTTCTTCCTTAACACATTTTTTTCAGATGTTATTTATATAAAGTTTTCATTGAATTTTCAAAAAAATATAACATAAGAGAAGCTACTGCTGTGTGGCTGAGTTTCCTATCTGTAAAAAGCAGGAGGTGGACCTTTGCACTGTGACATTTTTCCACTTTCTTAAAATGGCACAGGACAGCCCCTCTGAGTGCCCTGACCTAGGTTTGGGGGGTTCAGCCCACCAGAGGGTCCAAGACACACATGAGCCAGAGACTCCTACATGAGCCAGAGGAGGTGGGATCCAGAGGGAGGATCATAGTGAGGCAGCAGAGGTGCTGGGGTATTTTCTGGTCTGCAAGAAAGAACTCTTGGGTATTTTCAATCTCCACCCCTCTGCTACTCTTATTCCTCAGTATATAATCCTGTTCCTGTCCATTCCATCTTTTAATTTCTTTTTCCTCTGTCCTCATTTCTTTGCAACCTACTTTTCTACCTCGTACTTTCTGACCTCCCACTCTTCCTTACCCCACACTGTAATCTCTACTTTTTCAGGTCTGTAGATGTCAGTAGTCGATTCCTACTTTAGAAATATAATGGTACAGTCTAAGAATGAAAACATTTTATGCAACCATTTAAATGAAAGGATAAATCTATCTGTATTGATATTATGGAATGATCTGGAAATTAGATTGTTAAGAGAAAAATACTAGATACTGAGTCATGTGCATTGTAATCCACTAATTGCATATTATGTGTGTATCTCTTTTAAAAATATTTTATTTATTTATTTTTAGAGAGAGGGAAAGGAAGGGAGAAACAGAGGGAGAGAAACATTGTTCAGTTGCTTCTCACAGACTCCCAACAGGCACCTGGCCCACAACCCAGACAAGTGCCCTGACTGGGAACTGAACCTACAACCTTTTTGTTTGCAGGATGATGCCCTACCCACTAAGTCACACTAGTCAGAGCTATGTGTGTGTTTTTGAGAGAGAGAGAAAGAGAGGTGTGATATATATCCTTGTATTTTTATATTTATATATTAGCTCTGAAAGGATACATTAAAAAGTGACTAATGCTGAGGAGAATTGGGAACAAAGATAGAAGGAAAAGTCACATAATTTATGCAATATTGCACTGTTTGAACTTTACAAATATAGTTTGAATATACTTTTTACTTATTTTTAAAGCTTTTAAATATTAAAAAAGTGTAGTCTTATCTTCCTTTTCCTTTTATTTTTCTAGACTCCTGGGACAGACTCCTTGGTTTTCCTCCCACTCTTTCTGATCTTTTTAGACTGTCCCCTAAATTCATGGATTAAATAAATATTTATTCCACACATATTATATGCCAGGCACTGTTTTTGGCCCCAGAGACACATGATGATGAACAAAATAGACAAGAGTCTCTGTTCTCATGGAACCTGCACTCTGGTGTTGTGGACTATAATCTCCAGAGGTGGCAGCCATCAACTCCTGCCTTCCTGTATACAAGTGCCACTCTTGACATCAAGAGATGGAATCTATTTCTTTTTTCCAAAATGGGCTACACTTGTGATTTTTTTCTTTTTTTTTTTTTTAACTAATAGAATGTGGCAGAAGTAAAGTTCTGGGACTTCATAATTAAGTTCTAAAAAAGAATGGGCAGCTTCCAGATTTCCCTCTGAGAAGCCAGCTGCCATGCTCTAAAGAAGCTTCAACAATACTACAGACTGGTAAGAAAAATGGTAAAGAGATAAGCCACATGGAAGAGCATTAAAGTGTCAGAATGTGAGTGAAGCCATCAAGTACCTTCCAGGCTAGCCCAGTTACCTGCTGAATGCAGCTGAATGATTGACACCAGCTAACACCCAGTGGAGAATAGCAGCTTGATCAAGCCCTGCCTGAATTCCTGACCCAAATTACCAACAAATAATAATTTATTGCTTTAAGCCACTAAATTTTGAAGTGTTTGTTATGCAGCAATAACTGAAACAAGTGAGAGATAATGAACAAAATATAGTACCGACTAGGACTACAAGGAGGCAAAATAGTGTAGTAGCTAAAAGCACGTGGTGGTGCCAGACAGCCTGGGTTCAAATCTTAGCTCTAGCACATACTAGATTTGTGACTTTGACACAAGTTATTTAACCTCCATATATCTCTGTTTCTTCATCTATAAAAGAGTGATAATAAAATTATCCAATTTATAAGGTAATGAGAGGGTTAAATGTAAAGTGCTTAGAATGACACCTGGCACATAAGTGCTATATAAATGCTGTTGTTCTTATTTTTGTTGTTATGAGCAATAAAGAAAGGTAAGGGAAGAGAGTGCAATTTTATATAAGTTGGGCAGGGAATGCCTCTCTTCTAAGATGTCTGAATGGAAAACTTGGTAGATCTTGGTGAATCACTCAAATTTTGGAAAACATTTTAGTTTCAGGTAATAGCTAATAAGCTTAGTAATCAATGTATGTAAAAGCTATTGTTTCAGGACCTGAAGGTATGACCCACCTAGACTCCAGGAGACCAGAAGCAGTTTCACCTTTGTGTCTTGGAAGGATGCCAGCAATCAAGACAGCATCTAAGCCACTGTGCTCCAGGGTGAGATGGACTGGCCAGGACACAGAGGAAAGAAGGCTGCAGCTTTTATCTGATTAACCTTTCCCCTGAATTCCAACCCCCTTACCTATACTTTTCTTCTCCCTATAAAAAGGATCAGTTTAAAATGGAATTTAAGAGGGTGGTCTATTAGGGTACGAACTGGCCGTCTTCTCAGGTCACCAGCTGTCTGAATAAAGTGCCCATAAAGATCAATCTCTATCTCTGCTTATTGGGTCTGGTAGATGACAGGCAGCACAAACGCAGGCTTTTCCACTTTCAATCTTAAAGAAAGTGAGAGCAGAGCCCTGTGGTTATCTGACAGTCCAGGCAAAGGGAATAAGCAAAGACTAGGAGGGTAATGTGGCCAGAGCTGAATGAGAAGGAGTTCAAGGAGACTGAATGAGGCTAGAGCTGTATGAAAAAAAGGTAGCAAGGTAGGAGATAAGATCAGGTAGATATTGATTTGATAGTGAGGACAGATCCTTTGGATCATGGAAAGGACTTTGGGCTTTTCTGAGTGATAAGGGCAAAATCACTAGAGGGCCTGGGGCAGGTGTTATAAACTGGCTTTCATTTTAAATGTGGGCATTTGATCATGGTACAGGAATTTAAGAACGAAAGCAGGGAGATCAGTAAGAGGCCATTGCAATCGTTGAGGCTAACAGTCATGATGGCTTAGCCTGGAGTAGCAGAAGGGAGGCAGAAAGGAATTAAATTCCTGATGTATTTTGAAAGTACAGCCTACAGTATTTGTTCATGGATTAGTCATGAGCTTTGAGAGAAAGAGAGACATTAAGGCCTGAGTTATTGGTAAAAATGTGCTGTCATTTACTGAGATGGGAAAAACTAGGGAAAAGAATGTATTTGGGGGTAAGGGGTAGAAGTACCAAGCATTCATATTT